TAGTTTTTAAGACCTAGTGAGAAGCTGGCATCGGAGAATAACAAGGAAGAACGTACTAATGAACACCCTGCCACCTCCTACTCCAACTCCTCATTATATATTTTACTCCCCAGAAAAATGAACGTGCTATGCCCTTTACCAAAGAACAACAAAAAGTACATTACCAAAAGAACAAAGAGAAAAAACAAGCCCGAAGACGAGCCAGATATTGAGCCAGTAAAAATAATGTTTTGCCTAAAAACGAGAAAAACAAGGTGGAACAAATTATTCTTAATTCCCAGGTAGAACATTTTGAGGTAGAACAAACCAATTCCAGTCAAAAGGTAGAACATTCTGCTAATTCTCGGGTGGAACAAAATTTTCCAGTTGAACCTTTAACGGGGGTGGAACACAAAGAGCCTGAAATTCAGGTAGAACAATTTGCGATGGAGCGGCCAAGGGAAACTAGACGGGTAGAACAAATTGTTGAACAAAACAAACAGGTCGAGACAGAAACCAAGCTTGTAACACCCGAAGTTAGTCCCACTAAATTAGTAAACTCCGAATCGTCTGTCAAACTTGCTGAGAATGTTCCCCTCAAAGTTGTAGACCAAGTAGAACCCCAATGTTGTGTAGATTTAGGGTATAATATGCTCGGGGAAAAATGACACTATGGTCGCTGTAATAAATGACCGAAAAAGATTGATACCGGAAAGTTTTTAAAAGAACTAGGATTTAAGGTTAAAGAAAAAGGCTAGGGGGTGATTGGAGGTCTCTTTCTCGCTCATGTACGTACATCACACACAATTAAAAAAAAAAGAAGAAACGACTTATATATCTAAGTAATAATATACTTAGATAAAACCTAAGATTGAGACCAATTTTTGTCCACCATACAACCAAGTATTTTTTTGAGTCCAATGGAAAATAACTGATAACTGTCGGGATTAAGCAATAAATAACTCTTTCCTACCAAATATAAGCCTTTTTTCCAGCCCAGATTAATCTCCAATGGTTTTTATTCGGTCTTAAAAAAAGTAAGTCGAAAGCCTAGTGATTTTGCTTATTGTTTCCTAAATAAATCGTACAATAAAAG